GCTCAGCCAAGCAAGAAGTTTAAAAAAATGATTTAATCTTTTGAATACGTATTGTTAGTTTTGAGACAAAACCTATACAGCTGTTAACGACGTTAATTGTCTTCTACAGTCTGAAGCCATTACCATCGATGCCGAGCTACGTTTGATTAGACAGTTGCTGGAAGATCTTCAAATTAGGGGCTCTTGGTTGCAAATTTTCGAAGAAGTTGTAGCTGCAGCTGAACCGCTCGGATTTAAAACTGAATTTGCTACTAAAAGAAAGATTAAACTCAGGCGCTGTCAAGATAAAGCATCAAACACATCCCATTTCAACGACAGCAAAACAAAAGAATTCAAGGTGAACGTTTTTAATTTTAATTTAGATGGTCTGATCGAGCAGATTGATTCAAGATTTTAGGCGAGCAGGATGGTTGGCAATATATTTTTATTCATCTTGTTGAAAAATGATGATCTATCCGTTTAGAATAAAGCTTGAAAACTTGCACGGCTTTATCCGAGAGATGTGAACAAAGAGAATCTTATAGACGATTTCGGAGTTAGCGTAGCCATCTTGGAAAAATATTCTTGGGGGTGCAAGTTGAACTTTGAACCTTCCGTTTTTATGCAAAATGTCATATAAAAAGTATGAAGATTTTCTCAATTTAAGTTCAAAAAAACTCATAAATTATTTGTCTATTCGTGGTTTGAAAATAACTGGAAAAAAAGTTGAACTTGTTGCTAGAGCTTTTGCTGCTATGGAGCTTAATCTTGATATTATATGTTCTGCTGAAGATCAATATAAAAGGCTTCAAATTGATTACGAACATTTATTACAAAAGCATGGAATTCCAGATCCCAATGGAGTTGAACTAGAAAAGCGATTCGATAATCTTTCCAAATGGCCGGTTGTGACAATGGGAAATATTTTTGCTTTTATTTTAAAGAAAAAAGAGTTTAATACAGATTATATTGGAAAGTATAAAGATCAGAAAGCCTTTTCGTACTTTGATAGTGGTTTTGTTGGACCCATTTTTATTTATGAACATTATTTAAAACCAAAGGAAAAAGTTATATTTTTATACTGTACAGTAACAGCCTCACAAGCTCTCCATGAATCTAAAACTTTATGGATAGTTATAAAACAAGGTGATGAAAAAAGAAGTGATATTTTAACTGGATGGTGTTCATGTATGGCAGGATCATACGAAACTTGTAATCATGTAATTGCATGTTTATATAAAATTGAATATGCAAATACAAAAGGTTGGTGCAATCCTGCATGTACTGAAACAGCGTGTCAATGGAACCTTGGAACCCGCAAAGATGTGGAGCCTAAAAGAATTTCAGATTTGATTATTTCTAAAAAACTTGGAACTAAATCATCTTTAAGTAATGACTGCGAAGAAAATAGAATGAAAAATTTAAATAACTTTGATCCTCGTATTATATCGCACAGGACAATATCTTCTAACCATATATCAAATTTCATAAGGGATATGCAATTAGTAAACGAAGAAGCCGTCTTATTTAAATCCATAGAATCACTTAGTACAACTAATGAAGAACATTATAATTATGCCTTTGTGAAAACCATTGCACTTAATGTTTTAAAAGCATATTCTCAGTTTTCTGAAACAGAATTAATTCAGATATTTATTGAAAAACTAAATATGTCTTTAAAGACTATTGAAAATGTTGAAAAAGCTACAAGAGGACAGTCAGAAGTTTTATTGTGGTTTGAAATAAAGAGTGGAAGGTTAACAGCTTCTAAACATCATGAAGTTTTTACTAAAGTAAATACAATTTTAAAAGCACAGGGGTCAATAAAACCTAAAACTACACCTCTTGTTTCTAAAATAATTTACTATGATGATGTATCTAGTGCTTCTATGAAATGGGGAGTCTAACATGAAGATATTGCATTTAAAAGTTTTTATGCTCAAGAAATATCAAAACATCAGGATTTTAGAGCAGAAAAATGTGGAATTTTTCTTTCAAAATTTAAATGTTATTTAGCTGCATCACCTGATGGCATTGTATTTTGTAAATGCCATGGTAAAAGTATTTTAGAAATCAAGTGTCCGTATAGTCTTCGTGATAAAAAAAAATATCAGAATCAGTAAATGATTGTGAATTCTTAACAGTTAACAATGGCAAAATTACTTTAATGGAAAATCACAAATACTACACACAAGTTAATTCACAAATGGCAATAACAGAAATAAAAGAATGTTTTTTTGTTGTCTGGACTACCCAGGAAACTTTTGTTCAAAAAGTTAAGTTCAACCAAGATCATTGGAATAAAGTTTCCACAAATCTTGATATATTTTACAAAACTTTTGTTTGTCCAGCTCTTTTAAACTTTAAACCTTTAATATTTTGTTGTAAGTGTGATAATGTTTTGTTAGAAAAGTGTGAAATTGACACAAACAAAGAATCGTATTTAAAAAGTATCCAATGTAATCTTTGTGAAGGTTGGCTCCATTTTAAATGTGAAGGTTTAACGGATACTGAAAATGAGAACAATACAGAATGGATATGCTCATACTGCCTTGTTTCCTTACCAGGTTTGGAATAACTTACTGTGATTATCGGATACAATTTCATCAAAAATTTATGAAACTGCTTTGGTTTTAAACCTGAAATAAATTATTTTTTGCTGGATCATATCTTACCTTTATAATATTATTTATGTAATAACTTGCATAGTTTGAGCAAATGCTTAAAAATTTGTATTAAATTTTGTTTATATCACAAATAAAATAGTTAAATTTTTTTTGTGACATTTTTTATAAAATTGGTACCCACTCCCTATTTTAAAAATAAAAAAATCTTACAAGGATGTTTGAAACTGTTGCCATACTTTTGAAAAATAAAATATATTCTCTAACAATAATTTCTCAAAAACACATGTTTACATAGTTTTCCATGTTATTAAAATTGAAATAAAAAAAACCTTGTCCCTTTTTATCCTTTTTAAAATGACCCCCTACCCCACTATTTGCATGACGTGCTTTATGGATGGCCCCTGATTAATATAATAATTATGATGTTAAATTATAAATTTATGGTAAAAATTAATATTGATAAGTATAAACATCATGTTTATACTTAACAAGTATAAACATATTTATACTTATCAATAGTAATTTTGCAAAAAATATAATATAAAAATTTTTAAAAACATTTTATATTAAACTCTTTTTTCTTTAAAATAAAAACAAAAATATTTCCCATTGTTACAACTGGCTGATTTGAAGCCTTTTATATTGATCTTCAGCAGAACATATAATATCAAGATTAAGCTCCTTAGCAGCAAAAGCTCTTGCAACAAGTTCAACTTTTTTTCCAGTTATTTTCAAACCACGAATAGACAAATAATCTATGAGTTTTTTTGAACTTAAATTGAGAAAATCTTCATACTTGTTATATGACATTTTGCATAAAAACGGAAGGTTCAAAGTTCAACTTGCACCCCCAAGAATATTTTTCCAAGATGGCTACGCTAACTCCGAAATCGTCTATTGAAGAAGTTCGTCGTTTTAAAAATGGCCGCAAAACGTTTTTCAAGCAAGGAAATCCAATGCAGCTACTCAATCAAATCTTTGAGAAGAAGCTTGAACGCCGTATATATCAGTATTGAATAATGACCCGTTTCTCAATCCAGAGAAATAATGGTAAAGCAGAAATACAATGTACTGTATCGGAAATAAATAATTGCTGCGTTCACAAAGCTTTAAATTTTGTAATCTCTTGTTTTGAAGTAAGGCGCCGTTATCCATTTTTGACCTGGGCGGCATTAGCGCTCTTAAAGACCCTGGTAATATGTTTTATATTTATAAAATTATTTTTTACGTTATTCGAAAAAAAAAAATTTTTTTATAGGCATTAAAAATTATAATTTTTTTTTTTTACCGTTAATAAGTTTCTTAAGAAAGCAAACAAAAATCATTCACGGTAGAGAACATTTTTAAACTTTTAAGTTAAACTTTTTAACTTTTGAAAAATACACAATAACTGAATTAATTTTTATTTTATAGAAAACAATATAAATAGAATAGCCTTTATTTTTTTTATAATAACATTAAAAATTTACTTTTTGTGAAAATCACGAGAGAGGCTTCCTCACGTTAGAGGAAGATATGACCTTATATTATTTGATCCCCGTGTTGTGTTGCGTGTTTGAAATAATTTAAATTTTACAAAAATTTTTTGTAGCCAATATTTTGTTAACAAAAATGAGTACATTTGGTTTTCTTTTAAAATTAACTGAAAATTAAAATTAGTTTTATAAAACTTGCAAATACTTCTAGCCCCTACACCTGCAATTATTTTTTCTTTTTGCCACCTTTGAGGGATCATCCATAAAGTACGTACGCTCAATAAGTAAGCTCGGAGGGGAAGAGGCATATATGAAAATGAGAGGACAATGGGTCTATTATAAAAAATAGGTTAAAAACGAGGTTACTTTTAGGTAGGTGGAGGGTACTCAAAAGCGTACGTACTTTATGGACGACCCCTAATATCATGAGATAGAGAAGTAAATTCAAAAAAACTTTATTTAAAAAAATGCATCTTGCTATAAAAAGCACCGTAATAGACTTTAGTGTTGGGTTACATTCCAATCAAAAAGCTAATTCCATTTATTTTACCCACAACAAGGTGCTGACTAGAGAGTTATTTATGTCCAAACGTCATTCCCATTTTTTCTCCAGTTTCGGCTTAAATAGAGTTCGGCGTATTATTTCCTATTTTAGTTTTTTAATTTAGAATCAAGCTAAAATAGACACTTTAATCGATGAAATAATGATTGCCAATCATATTTTATTTATTTATGATGATACCATAATCAAAACTGAGTTTGATTCGTTAAAAGATGCTTTAATATTTAAATATCCCAAAGAAGTAAGTTATTCCGATCAGTTTTTCACAAATTTTGTCCGTTAAATACATAAAAAAAGTTTCAATAAAATATTTGACCCAGGGGAAGCAATATTAGGTTCAGTAGTAAAGTTTTAGATTTATAGTGGATAAGAATTAAAAACTTTAGGAAAGTTATTTAAGAAATTTGTTTAAAGGTTGCATACAAGTGTCCAACGGAGCTGTTCAATAAGGTAGATGTGTGAACGATATTCTAAGAACAGTTTCTAGATTGCAGAGCCGTTTAGTAAAAATCCAAATAAATCAATATTTAGAGAATTAACAATATTCGTTTCAAGTGGAATAATTGTGTGTGTTATGGTAGTGGTTGGTAGTAGGAGGAAGGGGGAATATAAGAAGCGCTATGAGCATCCTAATAAGTGAATATAGTATTGTATATATGACATTATGCCTATATGGTTGCTTTTGTAATGATCATAAGCATATCTACAATTAAAGTGTGATAAAAATATGAGATGTGGTGTTATTTTCTTTTAATGTTCAATATTGACAACTAAATCAAAATCTTACAACTAAATCATAATACTTACAGAATTTCAACCTGTAAAACTGTAGTAAATCTTACAGGGTGTAATACTGGTGTCTGCCAGATCAGGATAAACAGGAAAATTTCAGGGCATTTAGATATCTGCCAAAAAAATTAGTTGCACACAAATTCAGATTTTTTGACGTTTTAGAGAAAAAGGTATAAGCAACTTTTATATATAATTGTTTTTAAGTTTTTTTTAATCTTATTTTATATAATTGTAATGATTTAGGTATACTACAAAAATGTTCTACTAAAATACTGCTTAGGTATTTCATTAGAATAAGGGATACAAGGTGTTAAATAATGGATACAAGCTTTAAAATGCTTTCTGTTCATATATTACCTTTTTTAAGCAAAGACACTATACTTTCAGAAATAAAAAAGAAAGCAGAATGAAATGTTTTTATAGGCTATAAAAAAAAAATGCATATTTTTATAAATGTCTTATTTCCATTGCGCTTTCATAATCAAATTTAGGCATTTTTTCCTTGGAGTCCAACAGGTTTATTACAAATTTGTGATGTTTTTCGTAGCCGTATCTATTTTCTCATGCCTTTGTGACTACAACTATTTTTTCCATATTCTGACTATGACAAGGATTCTTTGGGATATTTAATGGACTGTCATTGGCTTTCAAAATATCTTCATTTGAATAATCATTCAGTAAAGGTGGTGAATGAACTTCCTCAATATCCCAATTTATAAATTCACAGTAATCTTTGGCTCCAAGATTTAATGCTGTAGGAAGTTTAAAATGTCTATTGGATTTGGTAGTATTCCTGGATTTAAGTATTCTTTGAATTGCTTTAGTTCTAACTAGTTTTCTTTCATCACTCATCAATAAAATACTCTCTGAGTTAAAAAAATATGAGTTTTGCTTCAAAACTTGCTTCTTGTATTTTACATTAATAACTGCATTTTTAATTAATTGAGCATGATACCAAAATTTCTGATCGCCATCGATTGCAAAATAATTTGATTTGATTTGGAACCATCCTGGTGCATAGCATTGCATAATTATTGTAACCAAATCAATAAGTTATTTTGTTGGCTTTTCTGTAGGAATGTATAAGCGTAGAATACGATTTGCTCTGGTGAGCCATCGGGCATAATGAAGACTTCCTGCAGAATTTTAAGATATTTCATTTGAAACATCTCCTGATTGAATAGATAAACAGATCCTGTAAAGATATTTATGATCTGAACTTAATTCACTAAAGATATTATCTAGAATTAAATGAAAAGAACCATTAATTTTTTTGAAAGGAACTACTGCTAACTTAGTTAAGTCCTCTGTTATTTTTTTACTAATTTCACCTTTAAATGATCCAGGGCCAGAAGTTTTTCCATCAATCAACTCAAATACATGTTTATAGGGAAATGTAGGTGACAAACGAGCCACTGCATAGGTCTTTTGAGTTCTGTTTCAATTAATTTTATCACCCCTCCAAATTTTATCACCCCTCTTCCATTGCAGCAAGAAGTTCCATTATCAGGTGTTAGATGATCTATAAATCTGCTACTTGGTTCTCTAACAACTGTAATATATTCTTTTTAAATTATCCCTGCAGTTGTTATTGTATTGTCTTTCCTTCCATCAAAACCAATACATTGTAATTTCAAATTTTTGCATTTTCTTTCATTTACATTTTTTTATCTAACACAAAGTCTTTCTCTTTCTGCTTTTTCCCTATCAAGCATATTTGATTCATTTAGTATACCCATGTCTTTTAGAGCAGCATTGACAATAGCAGCAGTTGCTCTGTTACTGACATGATAATGATCTGCTATGATTGCTAGTTTATTGTAATGAAACCTATTTTGATTACATTTTTTTAAGACATCAAGTTCGTATAGCTTGTCATATTCCTTATTAGATTCATCTAATAAAATATTTTTCTCAGATTTATAGAAATTGTCATCATTAATTTGTCTATAAATGTCTTTCTCAACATTTTTATGTGTATTTAATTGTTTTTGCCTTGTTAAAGTTTTTTTTTCTAGTTTCAGTTCTTTTTAAAGTAGATGTGTAGGCACGATCAAGTATTCCAAGTTGATTTGTGCATTTCTTTTGCTTAACAAACGCATCCCACTCTTTTATTTGCACTTTAGAAGTACATCTACATTTCTTTCTTTTTACTTCTAAATCATAACAATTGCATGAACATATATCAAACATGTTGTCAAAAGCTTTCAATTTGTCATAAAAATAAGTATTTCTTTCAAGTCTTGAAGTTTTATTTAAATTAGATGCTTTTTCCATTAATCTACATACTTTTGAGAATACTTCCTCTGTTTCGATTGTTGGAAAACTGAATTTACGCCAAATATTTTCAATTTCAGTTGTAACTAATCTGTAACATTTATGAGCAGAACTTGATCCTTTGATTTTAGCATCTTTATTTCTACGAACATAGTATCAATATTTTGCAGCATTTCATTTTGTAGGAACCGTTGCAGTTGTAAATTTAGAACCTTGTCCAAATGTTAAGTTGTAAGTTTTACTGCGAGTATGAAATGTTGCCATGATACAATGTGTTGCTTATTATTGGTTATATTTTATTTATAATTACTAACAAATAGAAATAAGACAAATATATACACAAACACTAAATATACTATGTATAGAGTCTAAAATGCAACAAATAGAATAAACTAAAAAAATACGTAGTAGCATAGCAAAAGTTTTTATGCTGACATGATATCATATTTTGAAACTTTATTCAAGGCAAGAAGTTAATAATTCTGAAATTGAGCAACAATATTTTTTTTGCTTCAAGTTCTTTTGTTAAAAGAATGTATACTCCAAAAAAAAAAATTTTTTTTTACAAAATTTTTTTTTGTGGAAAAAATTAGGGTGTGTGGTGTCATATATATATATATATATATATATATATATATCTATATATATATATATATATATATATATATATATATATATATATATATATATATATATATATATATATATATATATATATATATATATATATATATATATATATATCACAGATATATAAATTACTTGATACAGCATTGGCAGAAATAATTGAAGCCGGGCAAACTTTGCCTTGATGACGTAGAGTGAGGCAGAAAATACTGAATAATCAGCATATATTATGAACAATGTTTATAATTTAATTTCAAGTTCTATTTTGTATTGTTCATAAAACAATAACTTCAAAGGAATTAGAATTCATTTATAGTTTTTATATATTTATTTACAGATGAACTTAATAAAATAAATCTTAGCTGACTCAAAATTACAAGATTTTAAAAATCCAAAAAAAAATGTTGTTTAAATACTGCAATGTGAATAACAATTTGATTAAAATAATATACCACGAATTACCTAATGAACTTGTATAATGTTGTATAATGCAAGATTTATGTGGAGCTTTGAGACTAACATTGAATATAAAGTTATACATCTATATTTATGTATAATATTTTTATCTATAACATACATATATATTTATGTACAATATATTTAAAGATTTAGTACTTGTTTTAAAATGGTAAATTCGTGCAGTGCTTTTGGGTGTACAGCTAGATCTGCTAAAGGGGTCTCCAGAAGTTTTCATAGGTAAGAATTCAGTATCTATCTAATAAAAACATTTTGTTTTTGAAGAATCAATAGAAATTTATAATGTTGATTTTAAAAGACAAACACTGTATGTATAATGAATTCTAGCTATGCATTTTTAAATAGACTTCCTGTCAATCCAGATAAAAAAGCAGCATGGGTTCTTGCAACAAAGTGAAAGAATTTTGTCCCCACTTCTGCTAGTTTTATTTGTTCTGATCATTTTTCTAAAAATTGCTTTGATGAAAGCAAAACATCAGGTTACTGTTTAAGAAAATATCTGAAACCTGTGCAATACCAACAATTTTTGATTTTCCAAAACATTTAAAACCAACCACTAGTAAAATTCGAAAAGCACCAACAGAAAGAATGCTGAAAAAACAGATAGAGAAAGAAAAAAATGACACAGTTTTTGAAAATACTTATAAAGAAAAGGTGATTAGTACAAAGAAAAAAATTAGTGTAGAAGATTGCATGGAAACTGATTCAGACAACTTGCAAACTGTCAACAAGAACTTGTCTTTTGTATTAAATGCTTATAAATTACAGAAAAAACGTATCAAATGTGTGATGCAGCAAAAGCGCAGAATTAAAAAAAAAATGTTGCAAAACTTCAAAATTTGATCATTGAGTTACAAGAAAAACTTTTAATTAGTGATGAAACCACAGCAACTTTAAATAGTCTTAATCCTGGTGTTAATGGTTAATTCAAAAACTGAAATCTAAAAGCAAATTAAAATACTCCCCATCGTTGCGAACTTTTGCATTAACATTGCATTTTTATTTATCAAAAGCATATGATTATGTCAGACAGTCCTTCGACACTTGTCTTCCTCACCCAAATACTTTGAGAAAATGGTATAGTAGTATTAATGGACAGCCAGGCTTTACTCATGAGGCATTTCAAATTTTAAAACTGAAATATAATGACTCTAACAAAAAAATTGTATGCAGTTTGATAATGAACGAAATGTCAATTTGAAAGCAAATTGATTGGGATGGGCATAAATCTTATGGCTTTGTTAATTATGGAGCAGGTTTTAATGATGACAGTGTTGGTGTTGCTAAAAGAGCTTTTGTTTTGTTATTAGTTGCTGTTAACGGACATTGGAAGATCCCAATAGCATATTTTTTAACAGATGGACTTAATTTAAAAGCAAAAGCAAACATTATTTCTGAATGCCTCGTCAAAGTTCATGAAACTGGAGTTCAAGTTATTTCTTTAACTTTTGTTGGTACAGCTGCAATTTTATCTATGATGATAATTCTTGGTGCTGACTTTAATGATATAAGAAATCTGAAAACATACTTTCAACATCCAGTAAGTGCAGAACCAGTATTTTTAATTCTTGATGCTTGTCATATGCTAAAATTAGTTAGAAATTGCTTTGGTGAAAAGAAATTACTAAAAGACAGTAATAATGGTATTATTAATTATGCTTTTATTGAACAATTGTATGAGCTTCAATCAAAAGAAGGAATTCATGCTGCCAATAAACTGAAAAAATATCATATTAAATGGAAACAACAAAAAATGAAAGTTAAATTGGCAGCATAAACCCTAGTCAAAGTGTTGCAGATGCTCTTGATTTTTGTGCAAACAAGTTAAAATTAAAAGAGTTTCAAGATTGTGGACCAACTATCAATTTTATTCAGCTTATAGACAAAAGTTTTGATTTACTAAACAGTCGAAATTTTATTGGTAAAAATTATAAAACTCCTATCCTTTAAGCAATTTGGAACACTGTACAAATTTTGTCAATATTAAATGTCAGTACTTGTCCAGTTTGACAGACAGTGCTGATAACTTAATTTATAAAACAAACAGAAAAACTGGCTTCATTGGATTTATGTTTAGCCTTCAATCAGTAATTCAACTTAGCCGATACTTGATTTTATCTCCAGAAAGCCAATTTAAATTCTTGTTGACATACAAACTGAGTCAAGATCATATTGAAATGTTCTTTAGTGCTATTAGAAGTCAAGGTGGTTTTAATAACAATCCATCAGCAATACAGTTTATGACAACGTAACGGCGTTTGTTAGTACATCACTCATTACGAAACATAAAAACTGGTAGTTGTTTAGCTCATAATGCTATATAAATACTTTCTCTTACAAACAGAATTGTGAATCATAAGGAATGTAAATTTAATGACTATGATTCAACTTTATTTGTAGCTAATGAGGATACTACACCAGTAAGTATTATGGAACCATCACAATTGTCTGAATATTCTGAAGAAGTGGTGAAGTGGTGGATTTGTTAGTAGAAAACTAAAAAGATCTATTAAATGTAAGGCCTGTACTGCATCTCTCTTACTGATGATAATTCACAAAGTTTACTTGTTCATCAAAAAAGCAGAGATGGTCTTCTTCATTCATCAAAAGATGTTATTGTAATTTGTTCTTTTGTTGAAAAGTTTATTAGACATAGCATTCCAGACAAATTAAAAATCAATGAACTATAATATTTTATGAAATCTATTCCATATTTAAAATTAACTATCTGCCGCTAACTATTTTCTAAAGTAATTTATATACAGTGGCGGATTAAGACTATATATTTATATACAGTGGCGGATTAAGACTTCTTGGGACCCGGGGCTATTTTTGTTTTTAGAGGCCTTTTTATGGGCCAGAGCCTCAAAATGACTAAAGAAAAAAAAAAAGGTCCTCTAAAATTTTTGGGACCCCTAAATCTGTGGGGCCGGGGGCTATAACCCCTTCTACCCCCCCTTGATACGGTACTGTATATATATATATATATATATATATATATATATAATATATATATATATATATATATATATATATATACATACATATATATATATATATATATATATATATATATATATATATATATATATATATATATGCATACATATATACATATATATATATATATATATATATAATATATATACATATATATATATATATATATATATATATATATATATATATATATATATATATATATATATATATACATATATATATATATATATATATATATATATATATATATATAATATATATATATATATATATGCATACATATATACATATATATATATATAATATATATATATATATATATATATATACATATATATATATATATATATATATATATATATATGCATACATATATACATATATATATATATATATATATATATATATATATATATATATGTGTATATATATATATATATATATATATATATATATATATATATATAATATATATATATATATATATATATATATATATATGTGTGTGAATATTACAACCTTACCATTTTGCAATTGCATACGGTTTTTTCAATCATTTTAAACATTTCAGTGGGTTATATAACCTTACATATAGTTATATATAGTTCATATAGAGGTGTAAATAAATATTGCAATATTTTAAGAGTAATTTCTAATTTTAATTTGTGGTAGTTCTTTAATTTCTTGCTTAAACAAGCATATCTTTATCAAGTGGATAAGTTTATCCATCCATCATCATTTGTGTAAAGCTTCTGGTTGCTTGAAGGCTGATCTTCAGTTTCTTTTTTTAAAAACACTGTGCACAGCTTTGCAATTTCTAGAAAATCATATCAGCATAGTGAAAGCTCTGATTTGGCAAGCTTGAGAACACAGATATATGTGTACCTACACTTTAAAGTACCTGATGATTAAAATATATCAAATTCATTAGAGATTTATTAATGCTTTTGAATGGCACCGTAAGTGTTTTTTCAAAGTTCTTTCAAAATTGAAGAGCAGTTTTCCAAAATTTGTTTAGACCATATTTGTAGTTTTGAGGATTTTTTTTTAGTGTATGAAAACATAAACACCCAAATTTTTTTTTTTACTAGTAATTGTTTAAATTTTGAACCAGTAATTTTTGAGTCTTTAGCCATTACTTTGTTGTTAAGATTAAACGTTTTAAATGAATGTTTTGTTAGAGAAGTTTTGTTGGAAGGATAGCTGAATGATAAGTTGATTGCATACCTAAAAATGTACTCTCTTCACTAACTTTCATTATTCTGCCAATAACACAAATATAGCAATTGTAATTAACAATCAACAGTTCACATGTGCTAGTCTAAAAAATCACAGTTTGTAATTATGAGACAAGCTATAGAATTGCAACTAAATGTACATATAATATTATATGTTCCATAAAAAGAAAAAATACCAAATAAAAGTGAAATATTGTGTAAAACTCAATATCAATCTTGCATATTCCACAAACAACTCAAATAAACATGCAAATTGTTCAGGTTCAATAATAATAAGTTTTTTCATAACTTAAAAATATTGTACTATTAGTTTTTTAAACTCAAATTAATATTTTTTTTAATTAAAGAGTGTTTTTTCAAAAAGAAAAGAAAAAGGCGGGGGTGGGGGTGGGTGGGTTAGGATTTGATACAGTTAACTCTCGATATCTCGAACTTTAGTTCCGGTACTTTGCGCACTCGTTTGAGCCAAAATCCTCTCGATATCTCAAACTCTTAATATCTCAAACTGTTTTCCCAGTCCCCTGAGAGTTTGAGATATGGAGAGTCAACTGTATACTCAATCCCTTTAGACTACATTCCTTGAGGTCAGGATTTTGATTCACTTCTAGTGCAATAAATTTAGCATCAATATATAAGTTCACTGTCAGCATAAAAAAATATTTTCAAAACTTAAAATTATGATATTTTTTATTTCTTTAAAAATAAAAAAGCAATAAATTTTATGGCCACATCCAAACAAACTTTTTTGCAAAAGAATATTTATAAAAGAAAAAAAATGCAACTTATTTTGCTTTAAAAGTGATGCTTGATATCTTATATCTAAAGTGATGTTTGATATATCTAGACAAGTAAAAAAATAAGATGATATTTATTGACAATTGATATCATTAACACTGACATTATGTGTCAGCTAACCCTGTCTTAAATTTAGTTTTATGTATTTTATGTGAAGCTTTTGTTATAATTATTAAAATATTTAACTTCTAGTCATCAGATGAGTTTTTCATGTTTCTGGGACAGCTCGTGGGAATGTTATCATTCACTCAATCTTTGGCTCAAAGTGTTCCATCATCTTTAAAGTTGGAGAACATGAAGTTTACTATTATGCAAAAATCACATTATTTATTAGTAAGTTAAAAATTTATTTTGCAGTTTCATTTCTGTTCAATTTAATTATACACATTGACAAATTACAGCCATTTTCAATACTGATAAAATATATTTTCAATATATTTTGCTTAGAAGTTTAAGTTTTCCTTTTAATTTAAAAGTTTTGAAAATTTTCATTATAATTTTTTATAATTGTTGCTAGATTTTTGTTTTATGTTGCAATTTGCAAAAAATCGTTTTTCAAAAGTGCATTTTTTGTTTCTTCAATTCTATTTTTATTATGTATAAAATACTGTATAAAATAAATAACTTGAGTATTTCTTTCATTCAAAAATCAAAACGTGCTTACCTCAATTGACACCCTCAAGTATGTTACATTTGCTGCACTTAACACTGAAGAGTTTGTTTATTTTAACCCTAAAAACTAAAATGGAAAATAAAAATAATTTTAGAGGTGAAAAATTTATAATTGCTACTCATGGGAAACCATCGACTATTGTAGCTGGAACTAGAAACAAAAAAAGTGATTGTGCAAGTCTAAATCAAGTTTCTTTTGGAAAAATTATGGAGCTTGTAAAATGTTTAGAACTATCCCAGTATAAAACCAAAAAAATGTGTTCTATATTTAGAAAAAATCTTGAGTTTCAAAGTAGTATTCAAAGAAATTTATTTGAAAAATTAGAAACTTTAAAAGCTGATATAAATGAATATTTTTGATGCAAAGAAGAAGAATTATTTTGAAGCTGGTGATATAGTAAATAAATCAATTTTTATAAAAAGGATATCGATGAGTTTATACTTGCTGAATAAAATATTGACCCTCTTTCTACAATTATAAGGGTTGCTGTGGATTCTGGTCAAGGTTTTTTTAAAATCACAGTAAAAGTTTTAAATCCGCATAATAAAACTAGCAACCAACCTTGATGATGCTGGAGTAAAATGTTATTTTGCTATTGTAAAAGGAATATTTGAACACAATAAAAATCTTAGGAACTTAGTTGATACTCTTAATCTGCAAAATATTAGGCATTATGATGCATTTGATTTAAAGTGTGCAAACTCAATGTTTGGCATTACAAGCCATACTGGAAAATATAGTTGTTTGTGGTATGAAGAGAATCTTTTGGATGGTGGAGAAAAACAAAATCTTGGTTCTTTTGATTATTAATACAGTAAATATGTAGAAGCTAGAAAACCAAAATCAAAGATGGCTGATTATAAAAATGTAATTAATTCAAGAGTTTTATATCTAGAAGAGGATCCAGACACAGTTATAGAAAATTTAGTTCCAGTATCTGAGTTGCATACATTAATTGGTATACTTAAAACATTTGGAAAACTTTTATCAAAACTCTGGCCTGGCTTTAAACAATTAAACTCAAATTATATATTTTTTAGAGGTTACCATGGCATTAAGTTTGATGGAAATAATGCCAATTGACTTTTAGATGAGTTAGATGTTCTTGCTCGTGATATTGCTGATAAAGGAAAACTTGATTTAATTCCAGTTATTGAATGTTTAAGAAAGTTTAAAACAGTAAACCTTTGGTGAAAAAATTATTGCTGATACTGAATCTTCTGTTATTGAATTAAAGATGGCTTATGCTAATTTAATGGAATATAATTATTTAAAGGAAACATTACTTTGAAAATGTTTCTTTAAATATAACATGAAAAGTTCATATAGCAATTAACCATATTGTACCATTTCTAAAAAGTACCAAAACTTATAATGGACTTAAAGTTTACTTTTTGATTGAACAATTGAACAAGCAAGTAAATCTGTCCAGCATGAGTATAAAAAAGCATGGATTAAGTATAACAGACGACAAAACCACTTTGATTATGCTAAATAATTTAAGTCAAGTGTTGTTAAATTTTCAACATTTAATAAATAGTTAACATATTTATAATTTAAATTAATATATTGTTAACCCACAAAAAGTGTTGCTTCCACAAAAAGAGTTTAATAGCATGTAAGATACTTTTGAATAAGTATTGATAAATTTTAATACTATTAATGTATTCTAAAGCTTAGTCTAGATATTTGTTCACATTAAGTGCATTTACTATATTTTGTTGTTATTGTTTTTTACTTTATTTTTACTATATATATATATATATATATATATATATATATATATATATATATATATATATATATATATATATATATATATATATATATATATATATATATATATATATATATATATATATATATATATATATATATATATACATATATATATATATATATATATATATATATATATATATATATATATATATTATATATATATATATATATATATATATATATATATTTTTTTTTTTTTTGTTATTTACTATATTACTTTTTGTTATTTACTATATTATATTTTTTTTATTTTTTTTATTTACTATATATTTTTTTTACTATATATTGTTGTTATTGTTTTTTACTTAAACTTTTTTGCTATGTTATCTGTTGGAGAATATATGTTCAAACACTTGTTAGTGCATTTATAATATGAGTATACACAAGTATAGAGTAAAATTAGGTTAAGGCAGGTGATAAATTTTGTGTTTTCCTACAATTATGTGAAATATATGATTGAACTATTGATTGAATATATGTGAAATATATTATTGAAGGAATAATATTACTCATTTACTGCCCCTTTCCTTTCAATCTAAAGTCAAAATGTGTAAAATTTTTATTTTAACCGTTTCTATTGAAACCATTTCTCTTGCAAATTTTTTATTTTTAGGTTCTCAATACCCTTACTTAATTTAACTACTGTTTTTTTTTCTTAATAGCAAAAATAAATTAGATGTGGGAAGACTTTAAACCTGGCAGTCACTGTGGTTCACAGTGGGTAGCCTAGGAAAAATAAATAATTGTTTTCAATATAAATTCAAAATTTAATCGTTAATTGTTTGAGAACTTTGTTTGAGAATCTTGTAAAAAGAGAAAATTGTTTGAGAATCTTGTAAAAGCCCGACTTGCCAGAATATCTGTGTTCTGTTGCAGAAAAAACATTCAAAAAAAAAAAAAAAAAGACATTATACAGATTTAGTGAAAAAGTTATTAGAAGAAAAAAAAAAATTTTTTTTTAAGTTCTATACTAGTTTAATCCCAAAAGGTTTCCAGTTTTTCACAGTCATAACTGAAGAGTTGAGGTCAAAGTTTAACCTTGTATAAAAATCATCTTATAGGTTCCTTAAAATACTTATCATTTGCAATTTTTATGCAATGTTTCAAATTAGCACTGTAATTAAAACAAAATTATTATTGTTAACTGAGTTTTTCATTTACATTACTACTAGCAATGTTTAGCTCGCAGATAT